AATTGAAAGTGAATTCAATTTTTTGTCAATTATTTTTTTATTCTTCAATTGAAGAAAAATTCCAATTACATCATCTCAAACAATGATATTATCTTCTTCTAATTCTTCAATTGTTCTCCTAATGATATTAATTACTCTAATTTCATATATAGTTACATTGATTAAATTAAGCCTAGGTTGTCAACAGCTCTACATTGACAATTACTACAGTTACCACAGGAAGAAAATACAGTATCTGCTGACCATGCATAAAAGTTAAGTAGTTTTTGTTGGAGGCATTTATATTTTTCTTCACAAAAAAACATTATTTCACAAAGGCTTTGGAGTCCTTGTTCAAGATAAATTCTCCTTTGCAAAGTTTCATTTTCTCCAGCATCTTCTCTTGATTCAGAAATGATTCCATATAATAATTTAAAGTCACTTTTTGAATATAAAATAATACTTTTTGATTGTGAACCATCTCTCCCAGCTCTCCCACTTTCTTGGATATATTGGCCAAGGCTCAAAGGAAAATTGAAATGAATTATAAGGTATACATCTGAAGTGTTTATACCCATTCCAAAAGCATTTGTTGCTATGATTATTTTAGTATTTCCAGTTTTCCATTTCATTAATGACATATGTTTTTCCTCTCCAGATAAATTACCATGATAAAGGCCAATCTCACAATTTGTAATTTCATTAGTTACATAAATTTTGAGGTCTTCACAAATTTTAGGTGTTGCACAATAAACTATACATCTTCCAGCAGAAGTTTTGTTAATTTCCTCTTTTTTTGGTTTTTTCTTTTCATGGACTTGCAAGAAAATATGAGGGTGAGCAAATGATGATGATCTAATTATAGTAATTCTATCTTCATCTTTTCACACAAAATGTGAGCATTCTTTTCAGACATTGTTGCACTAACCATCATTATTGAAGAGTCTGGAAAATCTCTTTTAAGGATCTCTCCTATGCCATTCCAAGCATTTCGAAAATATTGGTGTTCTAACACACAATGGGCCCATCAATAACAAATTGAACCTTTGAAGTCATTGATATTGTTTTTAGCATATTTTGAAAACTTTTATTGGCTACAAATTTTTCTGGTGTCAAATATATGATTTGTACCAATTTTGCAGCAATTTCACTAAATACTTGCTCTTGGTATGATGGTGGTTTATCTGAAGCTGCATATAATCCTGAAGAAGGTATTCCAGAACAAACTAACTCCGTTACTTAATCTTCAATTAATGCTTTTAGAGGGCTAAGTATAATAGTAATACCATTTATAAGTAAAGATCCAATTGAATAGCATAA